AGTAAGTCATTAGGGATTTCAATGCTGACCACCCCGTCATTGGGATCACCTATGTGCCATCCCCAATACTTAACACCCAGTCTGAAATTTTTTTTACTTCAGAAATCTCTGAATCTGATTTGCCGGATAGAAGTCTCATATTTTTTGTCAGTGTCAGAACTTGACAATATTCCCATAAGCGTGATGAATTAATGCTGGCAAACACTACTTCTTGTCTCGTTCCTTTTGGAATCACAGGTAGAATCTGTCTAAAATCGCCACAAAAAACAACTATTTTTCCACCGAAAGGTTCCTTTTTGCTGTTTGGATTGGAGAATTTGAGTATATCTTTGAAAGTCTTGTCCACAGCCTCAAAACAGTGTTTATGGGTCATAGGAGCTTCATCCCAAATGATAAGTTTTGCTTTGGCTATCAGACTAACCAATGGGCTATCTTGGACAATGTTGCACTTAGAATCTTCATTAACATCTAAGGGGATCACAACTCTTGAATGTGCTGTTCTGCCACCAGGAATGAGTAGAGCTGCTATCCCACTCGAAGCAACTGTAAGGATTATTTCACCCTTTGATCTCAGAGCTGCTGAAAGTGTTTTCCAAATATATGTTTTGCCAGTACCGCCATATCCATAAATAAAAAACAACCCTCCTTGTTTTCTTGCAATGCGAAGCATTATCTTATCTTAGATATTTCTCTGTTCATCAGTAAGATTGGCCATAAGTTGACGATGTTCTGCAGCTAATGCCTGTCGGTCATATCTAAGTTCATCATGGATAAGTATGTTCTGAACTTGTGAAAGCAATGACATATCTAGTCTTGGCATTGTCGGAAAATCAGCAAGACTCTTATTGTTACTCCGTAAAATATTTTCTACTTCAGCAAGAGCGATGTTTTTCAAATCGTCTCCATCAAGCTGATAGTCTGTGATATTAAATGTATTAGTGATTAACGGTAAGACAGAACAAACATTTACCAAACTAAGTTATATGAAACAATTGCGTACCAAACAATAAATATTCATCCACATTCTTCTTTATTGTGTCGAAAGAAACGAACTTGAAGTTGGTTGTCGGAATATTTTCGGCTACTATATTAGTAACTACAGTCATTCCGACAAAATTCAGCTTAAATCTGTTCGTATATACTCTAAACGGTAAATTAATTGAATCACCCACCAAGAAATTTTGAAACATATAAGTTTTGCCTACTTTCACCAATTCCTTAAATTTCATAATGAGATTCTTTTTTATGGTAGCATGAATACGCATACCCTGTTACAAAATCAATAAAATAGTTAGCTCCTAAATATTGGAAATATAAAACAAAAATAAAAATAAATTAATAGAAAAGAATCCGGAAAAATAAAAACATCACCTTCTCATCCAAAAAAACCATTTCAATGCTACCCGTTTCTGTTTTTCTCCACCTATCTGGCACTAACCATAGATGAATTACCCGTACAATTATCTTCCAATTAATAAAGCTTGTATCAATTTCATGAAGCAATGAAACCTGTGTAGTTGAATTTCGTGGAGCCATAATTGCTTCAATGAATAAAAATCCTTCAATCCTTCAATGAAACAAAAATCAGGATATTTAGGATTTGGGTGAAATTGGGCAAACGAACTGAGACTGAAGCAAGTGAAAACAAATTAAATAACAGGGACCAAAGCAAGGGAACGTTAAAAAGAACATGGCTTTTTTTACCTGAGGTGTTGGAGCAGCAAATACAGGGAGAGATGGAGAGAGATACAGAGAGAGGTATACTTATAAATAGTGCTTATAAAGAGTTTGTGGGGAAAACCTAAAAGATATCCACGAATCTTCTAAGATATATATATTAGATTATTGTTCCCGATAAGTCTTTGGGGAAACGTGTGATAAAAAAATAGAGGAACCGTGATAATGAAAAAAGGTGTGGATTTATGCCAATATTTAGGAGATTAGTTGAAGGAATAGTAGAAATTAATATTTAATTAGGTGTATAATTATTAGATTATACGAAATTTAATAATATAAAACTAATTTAGACTTATGCTATTTAATTACGTGTTTAATTATTAGATTATAGGGAAAATTAATTTAGAATTATGCCAATATTTAGGAGATTAGTTAAAGAATAACACGTAATTAATATTTAATTATGTGTTTAATTATTAGATTATACAAATACAAAATTTAATAATATGAAAAAAATTGGATTAGAAAATTAAATATTTAGGAGATTAGTTAAAGGATTAGTAGAAATTAATATTTAATTATGTGTTTAATTATTAGATTACACGGAAAAATAATTTAGAATTATGCCAATATTTAGGAGATTAGTTAAAGAATTAGTAGAAATTAATATTTAATTAGGTGTCTAACTATTAGATTATATACGAAATTTAATTATATGAAAAAAAAATTGGATTAGAAAATTAAATTTAATTCCATTATAAGATATCCTCCAAATGAGCGGGAAAAATTGACCTTAGAGTTATATTTAGGAGATTAGTTAAAGGATTAGTAGAAATTAATATTTAATTATGTGTTTAATTATTGGATTATACGGAAAAATAATTTAGAATTATGCCAATATTTAGGAGATTAGTTAAAGAATTAGTAGAAATTAATATTTAATTAGGTGTTTAATTATTAGATTATATACGAAATTTAATTATATGAAAAAAAAATTGGATTAGAAAATTAAATTTAATTCCATTATAAGATATCCTCCAAATGAGCGGGAAAAATTGACCTTAGAGTTTTCTAGGGTTTCTCTAGGAACCTTTCTTTTGTTAATAAGATATATTTTTTAATTTTTTTCAATTAATATTATAATATTTTATATTATTATGAATTATTTAAGTAATATAGATTTGTTTCTATTTAAATACTACAATATTTATTATTATAGACTATTTACTATTTAGTTAATAATAATAATAATAAGAATAAGAATAAGAATATATATATATATATATATATATAAAATTAAAAAAAAATTAAAAAAAAAAAAGAAGGCAGCTCGCGAGCTGTCGAACAACTAAATTTGGGCTCGAGCTCAAGCTCGTCCGAAGCTCGAGCTCGTGAGGTCGAGCTCGAGCTCGTGAGGTCGAGCTTGAGCTCGAAAAACCCTAGCTCGAGTTCGAGCCTTTGTCGAGCAGGCTCGCTGAGTTCGCGAGCCGGTTGGGCTCGTTTACCACCCCTAACTGCGGCTGCCATAATTCGATCCTAGAACCCTGTACCAACTTACCATCTCCAGAACCAATTGAGTTATACCCATGCGGGCAACCCCTTCAATACTTTTTTTAATAGTGAGAGACCCAAACTATTTTACCATTTGAGAAAAATTCACTAATAATTCCAGCCACCTATTTTACCAATTATGTCTCTGCCACCTCATCAGCACTATCCGCCCATCAACCCCCTTTTTTTAATTATTATTTTATTATTTTTTCAAATTTTTTATAATTTTTGTTTTCGTGTTTTAACTTTTTTCTCTATCATCAGGTATATTAATCTACTATGAACCATATTAATCGACTATGATGAATCATAGTTGATTAAGGAACCAACTACTAAAATAACAAATCACAACTACAAAAAAATGCAAACTCAACTATATTTTACAAATTAAAAAAAATATACAAATATTATAATTGATTTATACAATTGAAAACAATAAACAAAAAAAATCCAAAAAAAATTAAAAATTGGAGTCGGTGAAGGTATTAATCGACTATGATGACGCATAGTCGATTAAGGAGCTGACTACTAAAAATAACAAATCACAACTAGAAAAAAATGCAAAATCGACTATATTTTACAAAAACAAAAAATATGCAAACAATATAATTGATTTATACAATTGGAATTAATAAACAAACAATTCAAAAAAAAATTAAAAATTGGAGTCGATTAACCTTAATCGACTATCAGAGCATAGTCGATTAGCTTAATCGACTATTGAACATGTACATAGTCAATTAATGTTTCAGTCTGCGCGGATTTCTCTACTCGCGCTGTCCTCCGCCCGATCCACCAAAAAACCCTAAATCTGCCTCCCCATTGTCACCACACCGTCACCACACCGCCACCACACCACACTTTGTCAACTAAAGTGGGAGTTCGATCCCCGAGTCTCCCAGTTTCAAGAACTAGAATCCCTCCATTAACGACATTACTGAAGAACTCCATTAAAATATAACAAACAGAAAAAAGAGAAAAAAAAAAACATACAAAGAAGATGAAAAATCTGGAAATTCATACTTTGTTCCCAACAAACTGTAATCTTGTCAAAATCAAAAGAAAATTCTGACTGATTTACTCACACTCACGACATATTTGCAGAAATTAATCTCAAAACAAACTGGGTGTTGCCTTTCTCTATCTTAATTTCTTACGAGATTTACTGTAAGAAAAAAAAAAGATATTAATGTGTATACAGCTTCAATCCCGTTGATGATACGAGTGACGACCTTTCCCAATTGTACACAAAAGAAGAAAAGGAGGAGAGAGAGAGAGTGTACGTACAAAAGGATGAAAATGAGGAAAAGGAGAGTGCGTGGGAAGAAGAAGAGATAAAAGGAAGAGAGAGAGAGAGTGTGTTTACCTAATGAGATTTCAGATTAGGGTTTTTAAAAAATTAATTAGATACAAACAGATTTAGAATTATGAAAATAACATTTGATTGGAATATTAGTCAAGGGGTTTTCTCTAATTATTTTTGGGAGGGAGTGTTTCTTTAACTACATTTCCTAGATGGGGGTGTTGGTGGAAATACATACACGCAAGTGCACGTGAAGTTATCGATCCCACGAGGAATATTCAACTATCTAATTCTAAGCGATAGATTATCCCAACTATGTTCAAGCTCATCCGGAACAGTCAAATTTGGAGAAGATTAACTAAATTAAACTAAATTAAAAGGCAAGCAAAAACAAGAGAGGCAATAAACACGAAGATTATACATTAACCGAGCGTAAATTTTATCTCCCCCTAAACAGCCCTCTCCGAAGAAGAGATTTTCAGAAGGTTATTACAACAACCATGCACATGTCTGATAGTGAAACTCGTTCCGAAACTTCATCGGTTACTTCTCGGAATTTTCCTCCTAGTGCACAATGCGAAAGTTCCGATTCCAACCACCTTAGAGAACAACCACTTAAGCTAAACGATGAAGACAACGAAGAGATTAGTAGCGAATCAAGCCTGTCTTCCTGGTTCAAACCGATTTCAGACAAACTAATAATTATATTATAATAAAAAAAATAATGTTATATTAATGCTACAACAGTCCCCTTAAAACCTATAGTTTTTTTAGTTGTAAGTGAAAAAACCAACAAATATGAAATTGCCCTCATTAGGTTGTAAATATTCAATCCATGGTGAATTTTGTAAATGATTTAATGTGTTTCAACTTTCAAGGGTGTAAAAAGCTATTATTATTTTTAAGGGTGCAAAATGACAAAATAATATATTTCAAGGGTGCAAAAGTGAAACTAAGTCCAACTGAGAGAGAGTTTCGTCAAAACCAAAAGCCCGCTTTCCGAGCATGAAAAATCAAACAGTTCATCAGGTGAATAAAAACAAATCCAAAAGCTTCCTCTCTTCCTCCGCCACTCCGATCTCACCCCTCTCTCATTGTGTGTATATATCTGTATCTATATGTATATGTATATCAATTACAAATCCAAACAAAAATTGCAATTGCTTACGATTTTGAAAACTCTTGCCCTGAAATTTTAATATTCAGAATTGATGGAAGCTCTTACGCCGGCGGCGATCAGACCGCCGCTGATTCCCCCAATTAGGGCGCGTATCTCCGTCCACGCGCTTGTTTCCTTCGGTTCCGTTCAGATTCCGAACCGGAGGAAGATTGAGGTGAAAGCGAAATCGGAGAAGAGGAGCGCCTCCGCCGCGGCGGCGAGCGTTGACTACACCGATCCCGATTGGAAGTCAAATTACCAGAAGGATTTCGAGGCGCGCTTCAGAATCCCCCATTTGACCGACGCGCTGCACGACGCCGTTCCGTACCCTTCCACTTTCTGCCTCAGAATGAGGTTGGTGATTTAATTTGCGGGAAAACCGGATGTTTTAAATAATTCAATTAAATAAAAAAAATGCTATTGTTTTTTTTTTTTGGTGTTTGTTCGTCTGTTTTTATAATTATTACTAAGCACCAGTATATGGTTTTGTTAATTTCTGGCTGTGGGAATCCTTGTCAATTTTATTTTCCATGCTAATATATAAAATAAAAAAGTGTTCGTAGAGGTTATTTCTATGCCACATGGGGTGAAAACTACACCTGGTATTTTTTTACGGTTGATCTACACACACCAATGTGGGTGTGCGTGTGTGTGTGTGTGTTTGTGAATTGTGTGTATATGAATGGTAAAGATTTACGCGGGGTATTTCACCTGGTGTAGCTGTAGCATGGAATAGACCGTTGGTAGATATAATTGATGCTAATAAATACTGTGAATCTGCGATTGTTAGTTCGTTGGTACGTACTCAAAATAAACGAGGCGTGAAATTGAGTTGATATTTGGTTACACAGGACGCCGGTGAGTCCAGATTTTGCAGAAGGTTATCCATCAGATGGGGAATGGCATGGATACGTTAACACCAACGATCGAGTACTGCTCAAGGTGTAATCTCAGTTCCTTTATTTGGTTGTTCGTTTCTTCCGTTTTTTTTTTGGTTTGTATCCTATTTAATTAATCGGCAATCATTACAAGGCTCTACTGGCAGCTTCTGATTTTTGTTGAGATGTTGACAAACAAATTTAAATAGTCGGAGCTTCAATGATGATGGTTCCATTCTGTGTTTTGTTTAGTGTTTGCATTGCGTGACGCATAAATTTGTTCTCCCTAATTTAAAGACACTCTGTCAGATAAATATATTTTCACGATATGCAATGTGGTAACTATAGACATGTTCTTCTCAGTTCAAGAATGACTAGTTTATTTCAAGCTTTATTTATGTTGATTGCGTCTGAAAAGGGTTGTTTATGCGAAAATTTTCCTCATTTCAGGTGATCCGTTATTCCTCCCCTGCATCTGCAGGTGCCGAGTGTATTGATCCCGGCTGTACATGGGTAGAGCAATGGTAAATATCTTTTACGTAATATTATTCACGAGCTTATATGGAGAGACTATGAATAATTAATAATTAAATAATTCACATCACTAACAGCTTAAGTTTTTGGGTCACCCTTAGTCACGGTGCAGTAACTTTATGATAATTTAATATGCTTTTCATCTCATATTAAGAGGGTGTTTGGCTAAGCTTATAAGCTCTTCAAAATATATTATAAATAAGCTCCCTAAAATTTGTTTGATAGTATTTTTCCAAAGAGATCTTAAAATTCTAAAAAATAAGTAGTTAGGGAGCTTATAAGCTGTTGTTTTATGAAAAAAAATACTTAATTCATTGTGCTGTCAACTTAATTTCAGGGTGCATCGTGCTGGGCCCCGAGAAAAGATATACTTCAAACCAGAAGAGGTAAAAGCAGCAATTGTTACATGTGGAGGCCTTTGTCCTGGTCTGAATGATGTCATACGACAGGTAATTTCATACACTGGCAATTGATTCGTTTGTATTTGTATGTTAATGTTCAGATTTATGGGCATATTTACTCGTCAATTGCATGCTCGTATTTTATTTAGTTTTGCATATGGTCCTTTACATAATCTGTTATAAGAGCGGACAAAAAGACCGAGTGAGACAACTGCAAAAATGAACATGAATTCTGGATAGAGATAATTTGCCAACACATAGTTTCTATTAACCTTCAAAGTTTGTTATTAGTATAGCAATCTGCATGCACTTCAAATTCTATCCAAGCAATATCAATTTTATTTAACTTCTCTCATTTTTTTGGTATCCATGCAGATAGTCATCACCCTTGAGATATATGGTGTTAAAAAGATTGTCGGAATCCCGTTTGGTTATCGTGGGTTTACCGACAGCAGTTTATCTGAAATGCCAGTGAGTTCTCCTATTCTAAATTAGATATTTTTTTCTGCACAATTTTCTCTTCTTTGGTCTTCATTCACATTCTTGTTGGGCTAAAAAAATATATATATAATTATTCATTTTCTTTTGCCATTTACAGCCATCCTTGTGATAGTAAATGCAACCTTAAAAGCTTCGATAATTTTGTTAATAACTTAATACTTTCCCTTTGTATGCCTGATAAAACACAGTGCACTGTGATATATGATTTCAGTTATCGAGGAAAGTTGTTCAAAATATCCATCTCTCTGGAGGAAGTTTGCTAGGAGTCTCGCGTGGAGGACCTACAGTTATTCAAATTGTCGACAGTATGGTGGTATACATATATATATTGATGCTTATTCCTTATTTATTATGGATTAATTAATAATCCTTAATAGTTTTTATATGACTTTATAAGAATTTGACAATAGGAGAGAGGGATCAATATGCTCTTTGTGCTTGGAGGAAACGGTACACATGCTGGTGCCAATGCCATACATGAAGAGGTTTTGACACTATAACCTTTATTCTATATATATATATATATATATATATATATATATATATATATATATATATATATATATATATCTAAACATGATATTATTGGTGTTTTGTACACAGTGCCGCAAAAGGCAATTAAAGGTAGCTGTGGTCGGTGTGCCAAAAACCATAGACAACGATATTCTGCTTATGGATAAAACGTTTGGTTTCGATACTGCTGTTGAAGAAGCACAAAGAGCAATTTATTCTGCATATATTGAGGTATGAGCTCGTACTTGTCTTTGTTCTTCTTGATTATTATTTGATTTGCTGTGCACGATCCTAGGTTTAAAAATGTTGTTAATCGTGTGTGGACAGGCTCACAGTGCTTATCGTGGTATTGGTATAGTAAAATTGATGGGGCGTAGCAGTGGTTTTATAGCTATGCAGGCATCCCTTGCTAGTGGACAAATTGATATATGCTTGATTCCAGAGGTACGTTACTACTTCTGTGTCAACGTAATTAAAAAAAAATGCTAATTTAATTTATTCGCTTTATTGCATGCATCAATTAGGTACCGTTTAATATTCATGGGCCGAATGGAGTCCTAAATCACCTAAAATACTTACTCGAGACAAAGGGATCTGCTGTCGTCTGCGTTGCAGAGGGAGCTGGGCAGGTTTGTAAAAACTGAGATGTTAAATGTCGTTTCAATTTTACTAGACATCGTTTTGACTTCGAACGTGATTTTGACCATTTTCTAGTCTGATTTTGGCAAAATTCAAAACTCAGAAACAAAAACTGTTGTCCTTTGAGTTAGCTTTCTAATCAGCTAGATTTTTTTGAATTTTAGATAACTCAAAACATTAAAGTTGCAGGCAATCAATGTTCATTGATTCATGCATATCTTTCTCATATCTTTCTCACCTGACATCTTGCTAATTCAAGTTGAATTAGAAAGATAACTCTAAAAAATTATAAATTCCGTGTTTTGAGTTTTTCAAAATTCAGCCTAAAAAATGGTCAAGATCATGTTTTGAAGTCAAAAAAGTATTATTAAAACTGAAACGACATTTATCACATCCCGTGCTTTTTTTTTTTTTGCCTTTCAATTTCTCCATTAGAAAATAAGAAAAGAGATTTTATATAATAAATAAGAGTTTTTTTTCCATCACAAAACAAATTTTCAGGATCTCCTTCAGAAAACGAATGCCACAGATGCATCAGGAAACATTATACTAGGAGATATCGGCGTCCATATACAGCAAGAGGTTAAGTATTTCTCTCTGTTACGATATTGTAATGCTGCTTGTTAAATTCTTTTGGACAGTCAATAGTTAAATATATAGCTAATAATGTATTATTCCCACAGACGAAAAAGTTTTTTAAGGAGATTGGATTTACAGCAGATGTGAAGTACATCGATCCTACGTACATGATCCGTGCATGCCGCGCAAATGCATCCGATGGAATTCTCTGCACTGTTCTTGGTCAAAACGCCGTAAGTCTTCTTCTTTTACCTATTATAACCTCTTTGAATATGCTTCTAATGAATATGCTCTAACAACAACACAAAATCGAATGAATAAGTTGAAAAATCAGAAATCGGAAATTGGAATGAGAAAACATGTTCCAAAACTGGAAATTTTTTGATAGGAATCGGCGGAATTTGGAATTTCCATTTTTTCAGTCACCTATAATATACAAAGGATAAATTACACCAACACTCCTGAGGTATGCTAAAATAACTTTAAGGTCCCTGTGATATCGATAATTACACTCAACCCCTTGAAACATAGTTAGAAACGCTAATGGGATAATGCATTGGATACATTATTCCGGTAGAGTTCTAACGGACTATTAGTTTCAGGAAGTGATGGAGATTATAAAGAGTTATGGGTGACTTAGAAATGTTGGGGGAGCCATGTCACCCCCCAACTTTATGTTGTCTCCACCACTAGCTAAAATTAATAGTCCATTAGAACTCTATCGGATTAACGCATCCAATGCATTATTCCATTAGAATTTCTTACTATGATTGAGGGGTGAGTGTAATTATCGATACCACAGGGACCTTATAGTTATCTAAGCATACCTCAGGGGTGTGGGTGTAATTTACCCATATAAAAATACATAATAATATTGATACTATAAGTGTAATTTTCTGATGTTAAAATCGGAATCTGATACGTATTCCAATTCCGTTCCGGAAGAAAATACAATCAGAAATATTGGAAATTTGAACTTCTGGAATTCGTAATGAAAAATATAATTCCAAAAACCGAAAATATTCGGATCAAAATCGGTGGTATTCAAAAAATTCAGTTCCAATTCCCATCCCTCCCGAGGAAGATTTTAACATTAATTTTATAAGCAGAGCATCCCGTCTCTATTATATTTTCATTGAATTTAATTAAGAAAAATTCACTCAATATAACATAAGTAATTTCACGGCAGGTTCACGGTGCATTTGCTGGACACAGCGGAATAACAGTCGGAATATGCAATACACATTACGTATATTTCCCGATTCCTCAAGTCATTGCCGAGCCCAAGGTTGTCGACCCCAACAGCCGAATGTGGCATCGTTGCTTAACCTCAACTGGCCAACCAGACTTCATCTAATTTAACTAACAAATAAATAAGGTTAATTAACTTATTCTTTGATTTCTTCCTATATTATTGAACTGTACAGGTCCATAATAAATTTTGCAAGATAGATTTTTCTACTTTTTTTTTTTGTTTTTCATGAGGAATTAATTACGTTTTTTTTTACCTTCTAGCCAGTTTTTTGTCTCTTATTTTTCTGAATCTTTTATCAATTTTGAAAAAAAAAAATTACAATTTTAAAATTATCAATTTGTTAAAAGAATTACAATTTTAAAAATTAATCGCTACTTACCAACATGGAAATCTTATACAATATCTTTTTTCTTTTTATATTTAAAGAAATTAATTCCACCTGTGACCAGTCAAATGGTTGCACCTGACACTTTAATAATTGGGGGGTGCTAAATCCTACACTAAGAGTTACTAAATCCCGCACATAAATAAAAAACATTCTCTCTCTACCAAAAATATTATCTCTCTACTAAATATTTTCTCTGACTTCTCTCTAACTTTTTCTAGGGTTTTCCACACAAAAAGTTACAAAATCCCGCACATAAAAAAAATATATTTTCTCTATACACAAAAACTATTTTCTCTCTATGTTCTATTTTTTCGACTTCTCTCCAACTTTTTTCTAGGGTTTTCAAAATACTAAGAAGTCGTCAAAAGTCGTTTTTTGTTACGTAATAATCATCAACTAATGAGTTCAATACCTTCTAACGACAATCCACTTAAACCTGATGTAAGATTTTAATTTTTTTTGCCAAAAAATCGTCATACGCAGAGGGCAGACAACCTGGAAGACGAAACAGATAGAGCGCACATGTTGGGCGCGCAGTACACTGTATTCGCGTCCAAGGTGGGCGCCGTCTTTGATGCGTCCGCTTCTACTTTAGATGCGATCCGATGTTGTGTTTTTTTTTCTTTTTTTTTGTTATATATTTTTTTTCAGGATAATAGGGAAGTTGATTATTCTGAATATTTTTTAGGAGTGCAATTGTTTAATTGTAGAGCCGATTTAATACAGTGGGCGAGAGACACAGCTGAAAGCCATGGCATTAAGCTAAGTATAGGTCATACTTTTTGTGATAGAGTATACGTCACCTGTGATCGGTATGAAAAAAAGTATGTGAAACGGAAGAATAGAGGTGTAGAAAGTACAAAATATACTGACACGAAAAAATGTAATTGTGATTTCCAGCTGAAGGTGGCTCTACAAGCGGAGGATAAATGAGTACACTCTATAGTTTACGGGAAGCATAATCATCCTCCAACTTCGAAGCATGGTCTTTATAAGCAGTATGAAGTTACCGAGATGTTGACGAGAAGTCTACGTGAAGCCTAAGAAGATTTTAAACTATCTTTGACGTGAAGATCCAAATGTCACCACTTTGTTGAAATACATTTATTATGCAAGACTCAAAATCAAAATTAAATTAATGGGCAGAAAGACTGTTATTCAACTTTTTATGCAGGGTATTGATTAGAGCAAGTATATACAACGACACCGCGCCGATTCAATGACGTATGAGGTTATTGACTTGGTGTTTGTTGATCATCGAATTCACTGATATGCTGAAGTTGTTCCCGTATGTCCTA